GTCTCAAAATATTCCCTCATCTGTTGTGGCTTATTGCTTATAATACATTTGTGTTAATGATAATATTATTATATTAATTCACACTATATACAGGACCTTTGAGGGTAAACGTGACAACATGATATCATGAATTGTGGGCGGTGCCTTGTCAGTTCTCAGCATTCAGCACATTGTTGCCAAGTCTTCAACATCAACATGATATTTTGTTATGGAGTATAAGAAATATTTAGACATGCTGGTTGCTCGAAAAAGTAAAATATAAATTATATCATGGCTTCCTTATATTATGGTATATCTTCTGTTTTATTCGACGACAGGACTCTAATCGTTTTGATAAATTGATTATAATTAGTGACTGGACAACCTTACTTCATGAGTGGAAATGGAAGATCATCTGACCAATAACGAAACAGCATAAAAACTGACGTCACCATTTATTCGACGTATCGCTAAATGGCGGCCATGACGGTATGTTTGAAATGAGCTCTGAAATTCAACAATGTTGCAATAAATTAATTTAGTTCCCTAACGACACAGTGGAGTGATTGAATGCCAATAATTCATTATCAGTCCACTCACCCATTGTTGTTGAATAAACTTCTATCATTCATTGCTCACTCATCCTATCGTCTTGTCAAATTCAATTACTCGTTTTAATGATGCACAACAGCACAATAGGACTGCTCGTGTGAAATACACAAATTCAGGAGATTCCCCTTATAGGTAAATAGTTCTCATTTAGTTTCAATCGCCATTGTAAGTATGAATACACGAGATATTCCGAACAAATCTTAACCAGTACTCGTTTGTCTATAGAACAACAAATTTCGGATCCTTTATTTCTATAATAGAGTCAGGTTTGCATAACCAAAGATTACTCTTGATAGCAAGGAACGAGTTGAATATGATCCCAGGTAACACAAACCTCTCCGCGAGATATCAGAGAGATCAACATCAAGATCATATATGCGAACTCCTATCGTGAGGTAGTAAAGATCGCTATGTGCTGTAACTGAGCGAATTTCTTCTCGAAGTCTCATGAAGAAATCTTTCAAACCTCACCTTTCAGTTATCGATTACATTTCCACAACGAATTCCCAAAGTTATTACGAAATTAACCTGAATCAGAAATTCTTACTGTGAGTTCGTTAAGCTAGCTGGAACGGAAATTCTAGTTGCGAGTTTCTGAAGCTATCACGTATGTAACGTAAACGAGATAATCTCACTGCGAGTTCGTACAGTTGACCCGAACGTAATCTGAATCAGAAAAGAAGTTAATTAGTCATTCCGATTTTCAATCACTCATCTCCAGAACTAAAGAAGAAAACGGGGGTGTACCATGATCCTGTTACACCCGGTATATTGTGTATTCCTCTTTTCAGTTGATATAATCATTCATCATTTCAATAACGTTTATTCAGATTTTTTAATTTGTAAATTTGGTTGATACTTCTGTGTCATTACTGTGAGTCTTTTATTTGATAATGTTCAATATTGGCAAATAAACACTGCCTGAGTCTTTATTTCCCTAGTGGCAATAAAAGTGAAACCCAGTACTAACTACAGGTGTTTTTGTGAGTTTCAGTACTTAGTAAACTTTTAATGATGGTTAGTAAAGTTCTTCTCGGCATGCAGTTGTAAATAAAGTATAGTATAATATACTCTGGCGCATAATCTATCAACAACTCAGGTGATTACATCACTCGCTCTCGGCTAGGCCATGTTCATCTTCCTGTTTGAATAATATACTATTGCAGAGACTGGACAAGATTGAAGAAACGTTTTATTGAATTTTCGATTATTAGTACAGCTCGGATACATTTCAACAGATTAAGAAATATGTACAGGAACGAAAAATCAATGCAATATGTACAAAGTGATGCATTACAAGATACATGATTAACAATTAACATTAACATAACAAATGCAAGTTAGGTGAGTGTGAGTATAGTACGTATATAAATAATTGCACTTGCCATATTTTCACTCAACAATTTCGGACAATCGATTATAGGTATAAATGGTACCTATATCTACTATATGAGTACACAGTCTCAAAAAAAGGACTAAAAGTAAATCAACTAATCTAAGTATATGTACAACCTATATAATATATACAGAGAACCTTCAAAATAAATAACTATTGTACAAAACTTCATAAGGCACACATTATACTGCATAACAACATCTTGAAGTGAAACATTGACACATAATAATCTTATAAATACGAAGTACTCAGTGACAGATTTTTTTAACATTACCTATGAGACCACATAATATGGAATAACAAGTTGACAAGAGCAAAAGATTGGTAAGGTATAAGTACACAAACAATATTGACTATATAATATGTTGTTGGTATAGGTTTCGGTTTCATGCAGAATGAATTATGAAATGTATAGGGATTTCTATATTTTGCTATGACAGCATGAGAACCAAATTATAATAGTGAAACATATTGAAATACCTACTGTTTTGGTTGTGGAAAGACGAAGGGAACGATGTATCATTTCACAGATTTCATCTAGTCTCGTATTTAGTTTAGTAATGAGAATAACTTCAGGATAAAATTATTTGAACGTCTGCCTTTCTTTTGTTTTGAAATTTTCTTCGTGGGTATACAAATACATGCCAATACACGATCTACCATACGTTATGATTATATTTTGCATGTCACAAAAACCTATTTGGGAATCAGTCTGTATAACGGAAATAATTCGTTTAAAGCAAGTAGATATATATTAAACAGCTTGTTTATCGGATCGATATACATACCGGGTGTCCCAAGTTATCGTATACCTAGAGGCAATATCTCGCTTATTTGACAAGATAATTGAAAAGAACTGCATTGAATGGCATTTACATACCTTCCTAATGACATAAATATGAAAAATTCTATTACATCTGACAGTTCTCTGGCAGCTATCCCCCACTTTTCATTTTCAAACAGCGTCCCCTGTATATTGTCATCGAAAATTGCTTGTCATCCTATGAGGAATACAACGATAGCATATGCTTGGTATTTTTTCATTATTATAACAACAAAAACAACATCAATATAAGTAGGTATATGGATTTCAACTAAAATAACTTTCATGCGAATTCAAAAATGAACTAAAAACAACACCACGTGCTCAAAATTATTTTGACATGAGAAGCATCGGCTTTTTGAAAAAAAAAACATGAGCAGACGAAATTTTGCATTCTCATAATGGTAATCAAGTAACTTATTCCAAAAAGTCACATCAAAATGTTGATATTTTTGTTGTTACCAATTGAAAAAGAATACCAAGTACACGCTATCGTTGTATTCCAAATTGAATGACACGTAATTTCCAATAACAATATACAGGGGTGCCATTTGAAAATAAAAAGTGGGAGGTAGCTTCCAGAGAAAACTCCTATGAATAACACTGGGAAACGAAACAAAATTATTCAAGAAATTCCACTGAAGAATTCAAGCTTCCACAAAATCACAATGAACACTCAAGTTTCAATAAAATACAAGAAAACCTGCATGTAAACAAATATTCAATGTACCCTTGATTAATCACTTGAATATTCGCCTACCCGATGACTGATCTTAGAAGTAGAACATTGAACACACAATCTCACATTTCTGTAGAACATTGAAATACAACCTCACTTTTCTTATCTGTACACAAAAGAATCAGAGGATTGATATAGTTTTTCACAATATTTTGGCACACAAATCGTGAAGCATACCACCACATTGTGCTGTTGTACAGGATGTCCCATGTTCGATGTCCTTACGGGATATCTCACTCACTTTTCGAAGATAAAGATTTGCGGTGTTCGCGGACGTTGGCTACTGTTTTGTGGAACTCACGATACCGCAAAATAATCATAACTTATTGCTTCGTTCTTGAGATACAGGGCAAACTTGAAATAGTTTCATTTTGGGACCCACCTTGTATCTCAGCTATCTTTAAACTAATCGAAAATGTAAAAACTGTCGCTTATATATTTGTCTGAGTCGAATCCAGTGGCGTAGTCAGATTTTCAGAATAAACTTTGATTATTCAGATATAACCCATAGTTATGTTTCTTGAAATAGAACACCTTGTATATTTTCTTATATTTGAAATATTGATACTGTGCGTTTTCTAAAACTATATTACACGTATGAAGAATTTCAAGTGTCATGAATTTAGTTGTTCAGTAGATATTTCATCGATGGGCCTTGTAAATATGTAACAACATTGTCCATATCACGAATTTTCATATTCACCTTGTTGTTGATACAGTGTTCCATCACACACTAGTTTTAATTTTACAAACATTCAACATTAAACAATATTCAGCACTATTGATTGACTCTAAAAGCTGTGAACCTAATTAGTAGGTGGCTATAAAAAAAAGCGAGTGAAGAATGTTTCATGATCTTTGAAAGCTACCTGTAGCATTTTCAAAATTTTCATACAACGGCAAAAGATAATTTAGGAAGTAAAAACTACGAAATAGAAATCAACATATTATCTCAACCTCTAATTTTTTTTCAGTTTCCATATCCAGGATTAGTATTCACCATCATATGAAAAATCTATATTCGACAGGTAGGTGACAAGGATTGAGAAACATTTTATATACACTCGCTTTTTTTTTCATACCCACGTACCTAGTAATAAGGTCCAAATAAGCTTTTATAGTCAATAAAATAGTGCTGAATATTTGAAAATATTGAATATTGTTAAAATTGAAACGAGTATGTGACGAAAAATTGTGTCAGCAACAAGGTATATATCAAAATTGGTGATATGGACAATGTTGCCACATATTTGAAAGGACAATTAATGAAAAATCCGCTGAAAAACTAGAAACTATCTAATTTCATGACTTATACTCAAAATATTATATGAGTGTTGTATATTTTCAGAAAGCACAAAGCATCATCGTTTCAAATATGGAAAAATATACTGGGTGTTCTATTTAAAAAATATAACTTTGCGTAATATCTGCATAATTTCAGCTTACTCCGGAAGTCTGACTACGCCACTGGATTCTACATGAAAAAATGTGTAAAAGGCGAAAACCACATATCTCTGTCCTATGAAAATGAGTGAGATATTCTGTGAGGACTTCTAAAACGGGACAGCCTGTACAATGCACAAAAAATGCAGCGAGAGACGAAGGAGTATGATTGTTCAGGTGAATAATGATCTCATATAGTTTTCATCATGAAATTTCTTCATTTCTCATTATAATTCTTTTTGCCACTTCTGCAATAGGAGCTGATACTGCTAATAGAGTGAAAATGTCTACAACACACACGGTCATATTTCGTCAGCATTGCAGACCAGTGCTATCGTTTGATTACATGAATCCAATATTCTTGCATTCTTTGGGAAACTTTACGAGTGTTTTCATTAGCTCCTATTGCAGAAGAAATTCCAATGATAATTGACAAAATGAGAACTAAATATATGTGAGTGACTATAGTACTTTCAAATCACAATGCACCTACCTGAAAAAATCGCATTCCTTCGTCTCTCGCTGCATTTTGTGTGTATTATACAACAGCACAATGTGCTGCATGCTTGAATCAATGAATAGCCAAAAAAACACGTTTTCGTATGCCAAAATAATTGTGAATAGTATATTACGTAATATGTGTTGTAAAAAGCATATTACGCACGAATGGAAGAGGTACGCGTGTTCGTAATTCCATGAGTGCGTAATTGCTTTACAACACGCACAACGTACTATATTTTACCTACTGCCATATAGTACATCAAAATAAAATTGAGTGAAATTTTCGGTCCACGCCCGATTGAGTTGAAATTCCACCCTACTTGACTGTGTGAAATGATTCAATCAAATTTATTATAAACATTCTCATTGATAGTTAAACTTGATGATGAACCTAGTTTGAGTTGAGAATTCACTCAAAAATTTCAATCAGTAAATTCACCCACGACCAGATATGCATTCACTTAAAGGAATAAACGAAAACTGTGCGATGTGCTTACTGTGCGTGAAGAGCTACTTACTGAGGCTATATCTCGTGTGTTCTTGCCTACTTTCTATAGTGACCGTAGGTGGAAACTATTTCAATCTTTTGCCAACAAATGAGAAGAGTGAGCTTGAGTTTCAATGTCCTTTAGGGTCGGTCATCTGACAGATCTTGCACGCAACCCATAGCAGATCACCGACCGTACCGCAAGTCTTACGATGACGCCATCAGCTTGGCGGCGGCCGTCACGTGATGCTGGTGATGGTACGCCATCTCCCCGCTCCCCGCCGTCCCGGCCGAGAACCCGAACATCTGCTGGTACGGGTAAGACGGCTGGTTCTGCACGCAGCTGTAGTCGAACGCAGGCTCGCTCTTGATGGCGCCCGTGGAGGCGCTGGATGGCAGGAGGGATGTTTGGCCCAGATAGGGTCGGTCGGCTGCAGGGGGTTTCTCCAGCTGCTGCTGCTGCTGTTGCTGCTGGTGGTGTTGCTGTTGCTGCGGTTGGGGTTGAGGCGCGTGGTGCTGTTGGGGAGGTTGGTGGACTAGCGAGGGCGTTTTCGATTCTGAAACGAGGAAACGAGGTGATGTTTTAAGTCATAGTTGTGAATTCTGGAGCGAAGTGAGGAGTCTACAGACTCTAAGATCATTATGGTTTCTGGCCTTCGAGTGCCAAATCGAGACTGTGCGAGTACTTTGAATTTTTCAAAATAACAAATATTGTTTTGGTTGATTCTTGTTTCAATGAAAAATGTGGATCAGTATAATCTAGTTAACTTTGATAATTCTGCTGGCGAGGTTATTGGTGGAATAGCGAAGGGTGTTTTCGATTCTGAAATGAGGTGATGTCTCATGTCATTTTTGTGAATTCTAAAGCGAAGTGAAGAGTCTACACACTCTAAGATCATCATGGTTTCTGGCCTTCGAGTGACAAATCGAGACTGTGCGAGTACTTTGAATTTTTCGAATTAACAAATATTGTTTTGGTTGATTCTTGTTTCTATGAAAAATGTGGATCGGTATAACCTAAACTTTGATGGTGCTGCTGGCGGGGTTATTGGTGGAATTGCGAAGGGTGTTTTCGATTCTGAAACGAGGTGATATCTTATGTCATTTTTGCGAATTCTGGAGCGAAGTGAGGAGTCTACAGAAGCTGAGATCATTATTGTTTCTGGCCTTCGAGTGCTAAATCGAGACCGTGCGAGTGCTTTGACTTTTTCAAATCAACAAATATTGTTTTGGTTGATTCTTGTTCCACTGAAAAAATGTGGATCAGTATAACCTAGTTAACTTTGATGACGCTGCTGGCGGGTTCATTGGTGGAATAGCGAAGGATGTTTTCGATACCGAAACAAGGTGACTGACGTCATTTTTGTGAATTCAAGAGCGATGTGAGGAGACTACAGACTCTATATATGATGAGTTCGAGTATTATGGTAGGGAGCGAATAGCGAGTGAAATAGTTAATCAGTTTACGGATGTTTTTCGAGTGATATCTATGTATAAGTATACTTATTGTGATTCAAAATCGTGTATTGTAGATTGTATAGTGTTAGAATTTGAATGAATCGTTTTGTTATCTACTGAGTGTTTGTGAAAGACCGAACCGAGACGTTACTATTATTATTATATACCAATATGTTTCATTTTCGACTTCCGATTCGACTACTGAGTGAATCAGAATATTCAACGGATACTTGGGTGAAAAATCAAAAATTGAATACAAATCCATATTGAAGTTTGAAAAAATGTTCGAGAAAACAAGAGTACTTTAGGTCAGGAAGAAAATCTTACATCAGTCAACTCCACCCAAACAATACTTCTTTAAACATTGGGCATGTTTCGCAGCTTCAAAGTTTCATCATCAGCAAAAATTATTTGTTACAGTGTAGGTACTACAATAAGGAAGACAATAAGCTACGTCAGACAAGCATTCATCAGATAATGAAAATGTTCTGGGGAAATTATGTCAGATAAAAAATCACCAATGAATGTATCTGCGATCCAAAAAAAACGAATAAGAAAAAAAATAAAACACCTCACGCATTATCAGGAGACCATAACCGACAAGAAAGTGCGTACCCATCACGCGCACGGTCGCAAGACGCATCAATAAAAACGGAGACGCAGTGTTGCCAGCTGCTGAACATGAAATGTCACAAAAAGTTTCAAAAGAAGTCATTAGAAGTCGCTAGCAAGCAAGGCGAGCGAAGAGCCGTCACATTTTTTGCGATTTTTTTAAATCAGATAAATGAGAACCGTAGAAAACTTTTCTCATTCAGAATAAAAAACATCACCTTTTGGTATAGATAGGTATATGAAACGATATTTTGAAATAATATCATAAGAAGCTAAAATAATATAAATACTTCTATGATAGGTATTTCATTGATTTCTTTAGTCGATCACGCATATTGATAATCCTGGCAAACCATGTCAACATCGTCAACCAAAATAGAAGAACAGGATCTTATTTTTTTCCTATATCACGAAATAATGTGAATTATTGTACCTAAATCATTCGTTCCTAGTAAAATCTATCAATTATTATAACCAATAAAATTATTATATTTCTAGCTGTTCAGTATCATATATCATACCTACTGATCTGCTATACTTCATTGCTATTAGTAAGTATGTGACATTCCAATACTGATTCAGGCAGAATCAAATCTTTATAACAAGCATTACAATTCTTCAAACCATCATATCAAATAGGTAGGTAAGTCTGAAACATATTATTCGAAAGTTGCAGAAGTGGCACAAATGATGAAAACAAAACGTGTTATAGGTCATTCTCTTCTTTGTTCATCTATTCGTCTCGAATGTCTCATTGTGAATTCATACCCGTCTCCACAGATTCATGAGTTCGTAATTTCTCCATAAAAATCTCTAAGCCTATGATAAACACGCACATGTCGCACACCAAGTTGAAATGTTGCATTGATCTTCTCTTAACACTCCAGATTTAGCGACAAAACCGCTAAGGCGGCAACCCTGCGGAGACACCGCTATACCTATATCTTCTATATGTACATCTATCTTTACCACGCCCCCCGCACCAATAGCCACAGGTGGGCGGTACTGACCTTCGGCCGAGGCGGAGCTCGCGTCATCCCGGTCCACGCCCCCCGAAGCCGGTTTCTTCGGTTTGCGCTTGCGCGTCTGTATGCCGTCCTTGCGCATGGCCAGCGGGCGGTTGACGGCGTGCAGCTTGAAGTAGAGGCCGCACGCGTTGCACACCGGCTCGCCGTCGTTGTTGCGTCGCCACAGCGTCGTGGTGCGCGTGCCGCAGTTCGTGCAGCACAGGCCGAGGCGTCGGGTCGCTGTCTGGAAGGAAAACAAAGGTCAGAGAGGCGTTTCAAGCACTACAGTCTAACGTGCTAACGGAGGAGCTGCCGAAATTATACCCGAACTTACACCGAAAGACGGCAGTGATGCCAAATGAGTCTATAATTTTTTTCTCAGTATTCATTTTACTCACATTACCATTAGTGATTCACACGAGACCAACGAGACGAGACTTTCATAAAGTCTTGTCGTGTAGTCCCTCCACTGCCATTTATGAAAGAAATGTTTTGTCTATCTGTGCAAAATAGTCTGAATTCTTTCTAAATATGTTGTATTATGAATGAAATTTTCAAGTCTGCAGTCAGCACGCAGAAATATTTTCCTGCGAGACTCGTTCGGTTTAATTTCGGCGAGTCCTCCGTTAGCAAATTAAACTATAGTGTTTCAAACCTCATCAGAGACGCCATAAAATAATAGCTATATATACAGGGTGTTTAAAAAAGACGCGGCAACGGCAATATTCAAGGCGGTGATTCCTCAGATCATGAAAAGAAGTTCCCATACATGATTATACACACTGAGAGAACAGTTTATTTACAATAAAGAAATTTTATTCATTGTTAACGAATGACGTTGTTGAATATGGACTAACTAACATGATTTCATCACAAACTAATGGTATTTTAAAAAATTACAAACAAATATACAGGTTAATATTAAGTTATAATAATCTTGATCTCAAGAAACATATATTAAATATTAACAAATATCACTTTGTGGACACTATTCCCCATTTTGCATTAAAATAGATTTGTTTATAATAATGTAACGTTACTTTAAAATCAATTAACGTTTTCTTAATGCAATCGACTGTCACTTATATGTTAAGTTATCTATATTAAAACTTAATACACTACGTTTTAATTTTAGCTTTTCCAGCGTTGTACAGAAAGGAGGCATTGTTTCAATAAAGAAGCATTACTTATAGCATAAGGAATCATTTTGTTATTGATAAGTTATGCTTCGTCAATATATAATATATTGTTTGGTTATTGATAGTTAATATTTTGAGTCGATGATCGATGGTTCCAATTGTTTTTTCCTAACAAAAAGAATAAAGAGTCTCTGAGAACAAATTTATTTAAGCAAAAGTTTACAGTATAGTTACATCACATATATCTTGATATCAAAACATCTGAATGAAAAGAGCTAAAATCAGACTGGAAATCCAGGTGGTATCGAGCATCCACTATATTGATATGAATGATCTGTAACATAAAAATAAACAAGTTCTTGATAGAGATAATATATCTTGTCCCATTCAATAATCGGTACGGTATTTTTTCATCTCTTGGAGCGCACGAAAGGATGTTGAAATTGCATTTAATCATTCAAAATGATTGTAAAGTATAAGAAAATAAGAAACTATCAGGTTTTTCTTAACAATGTTCATTAGGTCGAAAAGTCATGATTTTTCATCTGATGCATCAATTTCGAAGCACATTTGGACGGATTGAAATGGATGATACAAAAATTTTGGCATGTTTATGGATATCTGAACAGTTGTTGAATACTGATTGACAATAACACAGGCATGTTAACTATTAACAAATATTGGTTACTATCTAATTAATTTCATATTCGAGCCTTGTTTCTTCAATCAAGGATTTTGTGGATTTGCTTCCATTCTTATGAATCTATTCACTCATATGAATTTGCACTTGTCATCTCCTCACAATTGATCTGTACAATCATCATCCTATGTACAGGGAGATCAACCATTTTACCTTGCGGAATCTTCCAACAAAATTTCCTAGACCCCACCCTCTCAGTGTTTCCTCCATCTTGAAAGTCTATAGAACAAGCTTTAGAGAAAATGTATCAGCATGCCTAATAGTTATCAAATTGGTAAGAATTAGAGTCAGACGATGAGAAATATATATAGGAATTCAATTAATAATAACACTTGATGGAGAAGTAAATGCTAGTATGATTTATTCACCATGCAGACTCACTATTGTGTCTTAGGAATTGAAAACAATATGATAAAAACTCACCAGCCACTTCGTGTAATACCTATGCGCCAGCACAAACTGATGAAACTCAAATTCACATTCAACAGTGCACACCACAATTTTCTGTGTTAGCAATTGATATTTCATAATTAGGCCACTCCAAGCGTCCTTTGCAGTCTAACATGTTGACTCCGACTACCTACTGCATTCCAACCTCGAGCATGCGCCGAAGAGAATATCACTACGTCATGGGAAGGTCAATAATTATATAACGAATAATTTGTTTCTCTCAAGAACTATTTCTTATTATCTAAGCAATTGAACTGTGGAGAGAATTTGTTACCAGTTAATAAATGGTAATTCGAGAGTAAGATTCCATAAAGTTTGGATATAACGAACAGGTTTGTGACAAACTCATGAAAGTTACTCCTAAAAACATATGTTAATATTGAAAGAATCAGCTTCTAACGAATCCTTTGTTTCCGGTCAACGATTCTTTTACAAAAAACATGGTAGTATTTAATAAAGTATATTGATGACAAGAAGATGGCATTAATATTCAACGAAGCATACTCAAACAAATCAATTTATTTATCATAACAAAACCTTTCCCTCAGTGCACCGTGTCCCAGCTAAAATGTCCCCTCCTGTAAAAAAATCAACCAAGCGATCGAATGACTTGAAATTTTGTCACCCAGTATATTTGATGATGCTCACTCGAAATATGCTATTGAATAAATCGTAGGTATACAGGGTCACACCGAAGTGCACCTAAACTTTCCTATTCGAATAGGGACACCCAGTATATTATTATCCATACCTATTCAAGTATAGAGTTCATTATTATACAAATTCAACAATATGCCGGATTGGATCAAGGGATTATTTCAAACGACTACGAATATATGGCAAAAAATAAAATGATTCAATAAAAAAATTATATGATTAGATTTTATTAATATAACACGATTGAAATCGAATGAAAAGAAAATAATTAGAACCTCAACTGCTCAATATGTCGTCCATTCTGCTGCAAACATTTCCTAGCTCTTTTGAAACAACGGGTTTATGAGTCGCCAATTGTAAATATGGAAGAAATGAAAGAGAAAATCACAAATTTATGCGCACAAATTGATCGCAACATGATACATAGGGTCACAATGAACGTTATCAAAAGCCGATTCAATCAAATTTGTTATAAACATTCTCATTAAAAGAAAAACTTGATGAAATATCTAGTTTGAGTTGAGAGTTCACTCAAAAATCTCAATCAGTAAATTCACTCACAACCAAATATGCATTCACTCAAAAGAATTTTCTACAGTGTAATATTCATTATACAGGGTGCGTCACGGTGGATGACCTATCAGAAGTATCTGGAGAACGAAAAGACAGAACATTCTGAAAATTGGGATGCTTTGATAATTATTGAACATTCTCTATTCGTCTAAAATGTTTTCATCGATATACGGTGTTTCCACTTCTATCAGAAACAACTAGCAACTTTGTTATTTCAAATAGAACACCCTGTATTTTATTGCATTTTTAGATTCTTCCTGAGGAGCTGATTTCATCGATGTATTATATACTTATGGGGTCAAGCAGAAATGATTACAGAGATATTACACAGTAAAAAAATAGAGTGAAATTCAACACTATACCTGTTCCCAGGAGGACCACTAAGCTTTAGAGTAAATGATTTAACTCTATAGTTGAGTATATTATAGTGTGATTTTTTCAATTCAATTAGTGTAAATTTTCAATGCAAGCACATTAAAACTTACTCTATTTATTTCTCTAAATATATTGAATAAACACAAAAATAGAGTTGAAAAAAACAATTTCGAGAGTGAATATTCCACTCAAAACCCAAGCTAGTGTCAATATCATCACTTTAGAGTGAAATTCAATAATCGAATATTACATAGTCACAAAAGTTGAGAGTTGTAATATAATAGTAGAGAGCAGATTCTACACTTCAAACAGTGTCGGATCCACCGGAAATTGATTGAATTATTTACTCTACGTGGATGTCAAATTGCTCCTGCATTGTTCAAATTGACACTATTATTTGTTCAGGTTCTAATAAGGAGTTATCATTTATTCATCATTTTAGATTGATATAGAACACTAGTTGAGTGAACTAGTCACTACTTCCTGTTGAGATTTCATCCAAGTTAGATTAACTAGTCTTTCACATGTCACAGTATTCATAGGGCCCTGACAGACGTTCAGCGGCGAAGTCTCCGCAGCGCCACCTTTATGCAGTGGCGAGAATTGACGGATGAGAAGTAGTGTGACTTTATAATATTTTAATCGTTCGATATTTTAAGAATGACTCGAGTCCCATACTAGACTAATTAGATAACCTATATCTGTTTCATAAATCGTTCGAAATAATAATTGGAAACGGAAAAAACAGAAAATAACTGAGATAGGTATACGGAAATACGTTCATAACTCAATGTTGAAAAAAATTTCTCACTACGCGGGTATAGTAAAAAAGCTACTTGAAGCTAATATCATGATCATTATATCATCGACACTATAATCTGTATTACTTATTTCACTATCTAGCAGACTGAACGATCTGAAAATGTATAGATTGAAATTTCATCGTATATAGATTGAATTGAACAATGATAGACTGTCAATTCAATCGACAAGAGAGGAATATTCAAGTTCACTAGTGTCAGTTAACACTAGTATGAATTCAATTTCAATTGTTTGTGAATTGAGTTATATGAATTGATATTTCATTGAAATTTCAGTAATATAGAGTGAATTCAATACGAGAATAGTGAAAATTCAATCTAGAATTAGTTTCAAAGTAGATAATCTGCGAGAAGTGTAGTAATAGAGTTGATTGCAGTATTAGAGTGAGTTTGTCAGAGTATTTCAACTCTAAAAACATACTCTGCGGATTTCACTCGAAGCGGTTTTTTACTGTGTAGGGTAGGTATCTATTCAAAATCTAGATTTTTCAATTTTAGGATTTTTTGTGTCGAAACTATTCATTATTGATCAAAACGGCGTACATGTCTTAATATCAACTTTTGATTCACTATCTAATGGAATTTGGGAAAAATACAGGGTGCTTCAAGATTCAGAATTCTGATCACCCTGTATCTGTTTCAATTAAATGTCAGTAGATAGTGGATCGACAGTTATGATAGAGGGACATGTAAACCGTTTTGCTCGATAATGATTAGTTTCGATACAAAAAAATGCCAAAATTGAAAGATCTCGATTTTGAACATCACCCTATATCTCTGTAATCATTCCTGCAGGACCCAAAGTGTGATGCACTGATAAAATCAGCTCTTTAGGAAGAATACAGGGTGCTCCATTTAAAATAAAGAAGTTGCTAGTTGTTTCTGATAAAAGTGGCAATACTGTATCGATGGAAACATTTTAGACGAATAGAGAATATTCAATTATCGAATAAGCATCCTAATTTTCAGAATGTTCTGTTTTCTCGTTCTCCAGATACTTCAAATATAGGCCACCCACCGTGACCCACCCTGTATAGTTTCATTCGAATTTTTGTGATTCCATCAGCCAGAGTTGTTCAATTTGACCATAGTGACATTAGTTCAAGTGTAATTTGCCTAAACCGCATATATATACATGCACATCTCTCATGCAGTTCTATGTATGCACATCGATGCCACAGAACTAGTTCTGTGATCGATGCACTGTACAAAATTTCTCTGAGTGAATGCATATGTGGTTGTGAGTGAATTTACTGATTGACATTTTTGAGTGAATTCTCAACTCAAACTAGATATTTCATCAAGTTCTCATATCAATGAGAATGTTTATAAAAAATTTGATTGAATCGGTTCATGAATTACCATTTTACACAGTCGAGTAGGGTGCAATTTCAACTCAATCGGGTGTGGACCGAAATTGACTCATTATTGCGTGGACCTTGAGGGAAATTTCACTCAATTTTTTTCCAGTGTGGAAGTATTCCCAAAAACTTACAACCTTCAAAAGTTCCAAAAAAATTACAACACCTATACACTTATATCTCTAAGAAGAAACAAATGGACATTATTTTCAACAGGAGTTGAAATCATTTTCATTAGAAACTCACCAGTCGTTTAGAGGGTTTTATTAATGGTCGATTCATCCCGTTCATCTTGTGGTAAAGTCCGCAGGCATTGCAAAGATAATGGCCAGTTCCATCTCTCCTCCATAATGGCGTTGAGATCGCTCCACAATTCACACATTCTCGTCCTTCTCCAAATTGAAATTCCATGCCAGCGTCTGCAAAAAAAATCTATTATCAACCTCTGTTATTCTTATACCTTTCATCAGAATCAATTAAGTTCATAGTATATTCTATCGGTTGTCTATGATGTGGTTGCAGAAATATTATGAGACAAACTTATATCGCAGAAGAAACTCGTGCATGCAGTAAAAAAATGTAGCGCATTTTTCCTGATGCACAGATAGAACCAATCTTTGTATATTTTTTCCCCAGCACAATGCACATGGATAGTGCTTGTTAGAAATTTTGACTATATAGTTGCCTATCTCTCCATCAACACTAACAACAGTAATAATTAATATATATATAGGGAAAATGTGCCTATATGATTGCCCCCTGCATATATAATGATGGCACACCACCTGATGATGTATTTTCAAATATCGCGCCCCCACAGGGGATTTCAGAAAAATGCATATAAATGACACAATTAAATTTTTGGTGAGAATGATATATAAGCTATAACATTCAAGAACAACTGATAAGGAGTCGATAAGTTATTAAATGATGAATTCATAATTCGAAGGGAATCGGAATTGAGAACATATAATACTATGCAACTGCATATGCAACCAACGAGGCACGTATAAGTGATATTGGTTGTAGATGTGTCCAGTCCAGGATACATGAATTTTACTAACCTTTGTGAATAAGAAGTTTTCATCTAACGTAGAAGATAAAAACTCTTATTCGACCCGCTGAGGTATTGAAGTTTTCGATTTCTCAGGTTTGTATCCATATTCTGATTGCATAATTTTTGCTTACATGAATGTTCTTACATACATACATATATTGTCATTGAAAAGGAATATTCTCAGATAAATTATGAACATACAAAAATGGATATATATTTATATAAAGCAATACATTGAGAATTCGCATTCTCTATGTGATGAGAATATTTTACTCTTTCTCAGTTGATTCAATAGAAAACAACTACTTTCCTGGCTATATGCCACGACGAACATTGAATTATATCTATTGAACAGACACGATAAGAGTTTGAAAATAAAATATAAAAACTTCTGAAATTGAGAATTTGCATTCTCCTTCAGACAAAAATATGTATATGCACACATCATTCTGAATATTCAACAGAAAACAACTACTTTCCTGGCTATTTGCCTCGCCGAACATTGAAATATATCTGATGAACATTCAAAAGGAGAACATGAAAAATGAAGAATAAAATCCTCCGAAATTGAGAATTGACATTCTTCTTCAAATCGGATGAATAATATGATGTATAATGATATAGAAATATAACTTACCAATATATTCAGCATTGAAATGAAAATTGGAATGTATAGGAGAAGTATACTGGCATGAACTCTGATCTTGATGAGCTTGAAAACTTCCAAAAATAATCATTCATATCAGTGATATGGGAAATATTATCTCTCACACACAGGTTATATGAAGAATGGCTGTAAGAATAAGTGGACATCATGGTTACTGATGAGGATTCAGAAATCCGAAATGGTTTCATTGCAATAAAGTCATATAACCTGTGTGTGAGAGATGATATTTCCCATATCACTGATATGAATGAATGATTATTTTTGGAAGTTTTCAAGCTCATCAAGATCAGAGTTTATGCCAGTATACTTCTCCTATACATTCCAATTTTTATTTCAATGCTGAATATATTGGTAAGTTATATTTCTATATCATTATACATCATATTATTCATCCGATTTGAAGAAGAATGTCAATTCTCAATATCGGAGGTTTTTATTCTTTATTTTTCATGTTCTCCTTTTGAATGTTCATCAGATATAATTCAATGTTCGACGAGGCAAATAGCCAGGAAAGTAGTTGTTTTCTGTTGAATATTCAGAATGATGTGTGCATATACATATTTTTGTCTGAAGGAGAATGCAAATTCTCAATTTCAGAAGTTTTTATATTTTATTTTCAAACTCTTATCGTGTCTGTTCAATAGATATAATTCAATGTTCGTCGTGGCATATAGACAGGAAAGTAGTTGTTTTCTATTGAATCAACTGAGAAAGAGTAAATATTCTCATCACATAGAGAATGCGAATTCTCAATGTATTGCTTTATATAAATATATATCCATTTTTGTATGTTCATAATTTATCTGAGAATATTCCTTTTCAACACTTTCATACCCAATCAGGGGGTTCAAACTTGAACGATGGAAACTTGTGATTTTTATGGACTTCTAATCGCAGATTCGTGATAGAGTCTCAATTCAGAATTTCCTTCCACGCCCTGTATGATGAATGTCAATTTATCATACACCCAAAAGCATAATATTGTCATGGTTAGCATAGAATAAATTGCCCACAAAGATGAGAGCTTTCTGGAGAAGCTAATGACAGTTGATTCAAGATACCTACCTACTCGTAGCCAAGAAATGTTGAGTCCATCAGCCTTTGATTTGAAAATTCTTATCATGGAAAGCGATGGAGAAAAACAAATCCTGAAAAAATACCAAATGAGTGAATTCATTTAATCGAGTGACTTATTGATGGAAATCCATGGCGAATGTAAGAACTTCTTAATTAATCAAGGTTATACTGCAAGAATGTGATGAAACTTGCATCATTTTTTGCCAAGTAGCTGAATTTTTTTTTGTTTTGCATTCCGTATTTCTATATAAGTATATGCATTATTATTGCTGACTGATTTATTGCATGGGTATATATAGGTACACCTATATTATTATGTATAACAACGCGGGGTAGCTATGTATTTTGATAGATATCGCACAAATGGGGAAATGCTATTTTTCATTCCCTCTAGCTCCATAACATTTCTGTCATCAAGTAGTGCTTATCGATTTGTTTTATTTTATAAATATTCGCATTGAAATTTCAAATTAACATTCTGTATAACAATCAATCAATGTTCAAAACATATTCCAAACTCAGTAGTAGGTTTATATAAATCTAGATAAACAAGAGGCGAGACCATCAGAGGAATGTCCATTTATTGAAGAATTCAATGAATAATCTTATAGGGAAATCTATTAATATTCCATTATTATATTTGGAAAATATCCATTCAATCACCATTATACTCACTTGATGCCAATAAATTTCATCTCAATATCAGGATTGTCAAGTATCAGTGCTATAATAAGGAAATGTAAAATATATTGATAAAGCTCTCTATATTACCATTGAGTTTATATTACTTATTGGATTTAATTTACACTATATATCAATATATTGAGTCTAGTCCAATACAAGCATCAGCATTAGGTACGCATCTATATTTTGTGTTGCATGGGTATAATAGTTCCTTTCATTTATCTTTATAATAGCACTTCATACCTCATTGTGAACTATATTATATACTATATGGTATCATATAGATGATGAAATTGAGAACAAAATTGTTCTATTCTCCTATATACAGTATGATGCAAATGTATGGAATAAATTCATTATTTCAGAAATGGGCGACATTTGAAGAAATTCAAAAAACACGTGAGTTTTAATTTTTGAAGCCTCATCTCATGACATTCATATGAGAGATGTTACGTCACTGGTGTAGAAGTAATGACGTAATGGACGATTTTTTCAAATACAAGCAGGGGTCATGTGACACCTCGTTTGAAAGGTCTACTGATCGTCTATCCAACAGTCAAAATTTTGCATAAGAATATTGCAATTAAAATGAATCATCATTTGGTTAACTGAATCTTGCAGAGGTCTGCTACTGAGAATTGAACATCGAAGGGTCGTCTAGTTGAAAAAATACACAATAAAAAAAGTTCTGAACTCTAGTTTTTGGATTTTTTTCGGAAGTCGTCTTGTTTTGAAATGAATTTATTCCATATACATTTGCATCATACTGTATATAAGACCACCTAAATATATTGAGCTACACAGTACACAGGCCGGAAAAGAGTATATGTATGTATTTTTTAATGCCGAATGGAAATTGATATTTGTGTTTTATCTTCATTTTATCAATATATATTTCCAAGAGGTGTATATATAGGTATTACTCATCCCCTCCTCTCCACTGAACAAATATGTATAATAATTTCCATGAAACCTGGACAAATAGTGAAAATTGCATTTTTACAAGTACTTAATAATCGGAAATAATACATATAAAAACATGTATAAAGTTGATTGGGAGTAATTGAATATACATGATTACCTGTGGTAAATACGCCTGAACAAATAATAATTAAAAATTCTCATTATATCTGTAATAATCCTGAAAATCACATGATGATTACAAGGAATAAACTGGGAATATATATTGGATATTCACATTTGAAGTCAAGTAATGATTTCACGTCGTATTATACATCATAGGTGAGTAACTTTACATGTTGATGCATGGCAACACATTACCCATATATGAACACAATGGAAAAAAATTTTATGCTGTATTTCTACGTTCTTATAACATTATTCTGAATGATCAGGAAGATATTATATTGAGTGGAATTTGAGTGAAATGTAAATATTTTTTTTTCAGTGTGACCATATATAGAAGCAAGTCGCCTTCATGTCCAAATTTTTGGATCATAAGTTATTCCTACTTTCTGCAGCGTACACATACTTACTGATAATTCATATATAATAAAATGATTAATAAAATTCCGCAGATGTCTTCACTTTTTTCTACCTTCAACTTCAACCTAATTCGTATACTTTACCGATCTCAAAATCCCAATGATCAATCAAATTTGAAAGTTCACATAATTATTTTATCAAATATTCACGGTATGTTAGTGCATATTTCATTTCATAATGGCCCTGTATCAATGATAAATTAGGAAAACTTCGCAGGTGCTCCACATTATATAGAACGTGGCTCTCAAACCAGATACCAGCAAGGAAGTCTTGCCGAACAATCGCAAAAAAGCGATTATCCTAAGAGAGTGTCTGGGCTGGGATCTGGAATGAATCATTGGGATCCGATCGCTTTGAACTCTGATTTACGCCGACGTTTCTTATCTGCCGATTCTAATGCACTCTTTGAATAACCGCCAACGCCCTCA